TAGTTTATGCATTGTTTAGCAAGAAAGGAGTTCAAGAAAGAGTAGTACCATGAGTAACCTTTCTAAATATAGAAGAATTGAGGTAACCTGATAATTTATCGTGCCTATTACTTAGTTCAACTACTTATAAGTGAATGTTAGTGTGATTTATAATTTAAATTGTTGTTATGTTTGGAATTTGATGTTTTTTAGAGTTTTAGCATAACAAGGATTTGATTATGAATTGAAATATTTTTAAAGGGTTTCATTAAAGTAAATCGTTGTACCAATATGTGTGGATGTGATTATTTACATAAAGGGGCATGATCATATTAAAAGGTGGAAGTTCACCTTCAGCATGTGGAGACGGGTGTATCAAAAATTTATATGGTCGAGCTGGCACTATAAGACATCCAACACAGCATTATATTCTAGGATTGTTACCATAGGACATCCGAGCAGTTTAGCAACTTTCTAGTACCCGAAAGGGTGCAGTTCAGGGTCAACAACACCCTTATTATATATATGTGAAAGGGGGAATCCATAGTCTAAAAGTAGGTTAGAATACCTTTGACCAAGTATTTCTACCAATGAAGGTATGCTCAGACTAATATGTGATTAGTCCAATAGAGCATATGGGTTCAATCGAGGAGCTTGGAGGTTCAATGGATAAATGATCATGTGAATGTGTTATTGATTTTGTGAAAATCATTATAAATATTTATATACGTGTTTATGTGTATGAGTTTATAGATTTCGAAAACAAAATGGTTTTGTTTACTTATTTAGAGTTAATCTTGTTAATAAACATTTGATGAGTTATCTAGGTTATTAAAATTTTTATCTCACCCGTAGCTATCATTTTAACAGGTTCTGATGTTAGGAGTACTAAAGCAAAAGAACCAGGCCGAGATTAGTGGATTTCTTGTTAGCCCATCGAAGTTGGTGTAATGAATTTGTTTATGTAAATAATGCATTGTATATAAATTTCTATAGGACCATATGCATGTAATTGTACTAATATGCTTATGCATATTTCTATAGCCTAGCCCTGAGAGTGTATATGTGTTTGTGGTGAATTTTGTAATGAGGGCTAGGGTACCATTACAAGTACGTGTGTGTGTGTGTGTGTGTGTGTTTAGCACAAAAGTGTGTGAAGTTTGGCCAAAATGTGTAAATGTGCGTGAAAGTGTGCTTTTGTCCTAGTGTGTGCTTAAGGGTAGTTTATTGGCAAACCTTATGTGTAAGCATGTTAATGTTTATATAATTGGTTAATCAGGTTTTAAATGTTCTAGTAGATGTGGTCAAGACCTCAAAAATAGTCAATGACACTTAGTTAATTAGGATTCTCGGTCAAGTGAAAATAACTTAAAACGATCATTTTGCATTTGAGTGTCTAATTTTTAAATGAAATATCAAATTTAAATGAAATTAATGTCGTTAGCTAGATTTTAAAATAAGCTTCATATAGACACTTGAACCATCCCAATTAAACATCGGATGCAAAAATAATGCACGTCAAAAGTTCATATCAAATTTCTGTTTGATAGGAAAATTGGATTCGTGCATCACGGCACATGGTACACATGTCATAGCGCATGTCACAAAATGAGAATATGTGACTCTATACCACATGTCATAGCACATGTGCCACATGCCACAACATAAGGCCTAGTACAGCTTAAAATTGCCGTTTTGCTTTCATTTTCTTATTATACTTGGTATATGTTATCTTTAAGGTTCTGCTGTGTATGAATAGGACATTTAATTCACACGAAAGTTTTTGTAAAATATTTTATGTGGGATCCCTATTTGTTATGGTTTTCAATGTTTAAACCTAAGTGTGAATTGGTATGCTAGTCTGTGATGTCAAAAGGGCATTACAAGAAAATAAGGGTATGCTTGAATGATGTGCGGATTAGACTTGCATCACTTATGGTAAGTACAATGGGTGTTCTATTAAATGGAAGAGAAGATCAAGTGAAAATAGCCTAAGGAAGCCTAAGTCATACTGACAAAAAGAGTCACACTAAGCAATCTTAGAGTGATACTGGGTCAAAATTATGAGTATTGTGCAAGGCAAGTTGATTTTATTGGGTTGATTGTGCAGATTGTCGAGAAATCTTCAATTACACTCTCATTATCTATTTATTGAAAATGGTAATGGCTCACACCTTTAAATTTGAACTTTGGTGCCAAAAAGAGTTGGTAATTGTCCATGCCATCATCTTGCCAAGGGTGTACTTCATCATGTGGAGAGATATGGGTAAGTATGTTATATCCTTTAGGTAATGGGATAGGTGGGGGAGACTAGGTCATGAGCTCCCTAAATATGACATTCCATTTAGCTCTAACAAGTCAAGCTAACTAATGGGTTGGTTTTAGTAAAAATGGATTGGGCTTTAATCAATTCCCCTTTTAAGCCCAATGCAGCAATTTCAATCCAAACAATGTGTATATATACAAGGGCTACAAGCAACAAAGACACAAAGTCTAAGCTGAAAATCAAAAGTAGAGTTCAATTGTATTCAAACACATTTAGGTTTGGAATAAAATGATACCGACAACAATGAGCTTGATAGGAATGCATTATGATGCAAGCTCAAATCAAATGCAAGAGCATATCTTTTGAGAAAAAGTATTGTCATTTTTCAAATATGCCATATATGTTACTTCAAAAAATTATGACACTAGAGAAAAAGTAAGGCAGCTCAAGTTCAAGCTTATTAATCAATCCCACTTTCCCATAAGGACATTCAAAGAAAAGATCAAACGATGCAATGGCTATTTAGAAAACCAAAATATATGATTGTAACAAATCCAAGGCATCTTTCCATTCAAAGTTCCAGGACCCAAAATGATAACAATTTTCCTGCATTGGTATAGGCCACAATTTTCTGACATTTGCATTCCAAGTTTAAAGATCCAAAACAATCAATTTTTTCACATTTACAAAGTCATAATTTTCTATCATTTGCATTCCAATTTCAAGAGTACAACCTGTTACAATTTTGCAACATTTGTATAGGTCGCAATTTTCCAATGCTTGTATTCCAAGTTAAAGAATCTAAAACGATCAAAGCATTCTCACATTTATAATTGAAATTAAAGGATCCAAAATGGTCAAAATATTTCCATATTTATAATCCAAGATAATGAAACTATTAGAACATTCCCAACACATGAACCATCAAAATTCTAAGTTAAAGGATTCAAAACAATTAAAACATTCTCACATTTGTAATCTAATTTAAAATATCCAAAACAGTCAGAATATTCTTAAATTTGTGAACCATGTTAAAGGATGAAAAAAGTCAACACATTCTGTCGCACCTGGAAATGTGATGCGGACGACGCGAGAGCAAAGGTTCCGGCCTTCGGAAGGAAGACCGAAGAAATGGGAGTCACCACCAAATTTTTGAGAAAAATCTTGGAAAACCGTTTAAAGGTGGATAAGGATGGTCTGCGAAAACAGAAAATAGGTTCGGAAGTCGATTGAGTGTGGGGAAAATGTTAGGCACCTCACAACACCTGTTCGTAAGAACAATTATCTAAAGTTTGTTGTGCTATATAAATATAGTTTTAAAATTATTTTAATTATCCCTTTTATATTCATGTGTTTGATATAAAAATAATAAGAATTAAGCGAGAAATGTTTATCTATTTACGGGGAGGACTTGACTCAGAATTTGACTCTGAGGCCTACGTACCCTGTGATGAGGATCAAAGTCCACGTAGTTCGAGGTTAAAAGTTTGTTGATAAAAATATTTTTTTCAAGAGAAATTAATTAAAAATAATTCACCATTTTGCAAATAAAACAATTTTTAGAATTTTGATATGTGTATTTTAAATTGCAAAAAGAGATTTAATTTCAATTATTTCCTCTATTTTTAAATTTTTAGAATAAGGAAAAGAAAAGAGTTTAAGAATTATTTTTTTTATATTTTATGATTGAAAATTTAATCGCAGTTCCTGTAGAGCCTTATTGGCTCATACGATAATGCAATTATTCTAAATATTTGCGGAGATTTCAAAATCTCACAATAAAATAATTAAATTTATTTATGTTAGTAATAATTTATTCAAGCATGCATATATATGTTTTTAAAGAATTTTAATCATCATACCTATAAAGCCTTATTGACTTTTACAGTAATACTATTATTCTAAATATCTGCGGAGATTCAAAACTCTCACACCATAAAGGATTAAATATTATATGTTTTAAATATATTTTAATGCGTAATTATACAATTTATATTTTTAAATATAGAAATTTTAATCGTTATACCTGCGAAGCCTTATTGACTCTCATGATAGTACGACTATCCTAAAGGTCTACGGTCTCACGTGACCAAAAGATCTAATTAGAAAATGTAATTATAATTCAAATGTATTAATTTAATTAATTAATATTATAAAAAATGTTTATTATTTTGTTTACAAAAAATTCATTTATTTACTATATAAATTAATAACCGCAAAATTCTGCGAGAACTTATTATCCCACACAATAATGTGCTTAATTTTAATGATGAGTCTTTGGAACCCATAATATTGTATACAAAATTGATTCTCATATTTGCAAAATTTTATTGATCTTCATGATACAGAATCATTTAAATTGTCTATGCAGATTCTTAAAATCTCACACAATAAATAAATCAAAGGCCAAAGAAATTAATATCATGATCAAACCATACCCAAATAATCAGCATGAAATTAACAAGTTTTCATGATTAATAAGGAAGCATAATGGTAAATTTTCAAAATATAAAAAAAACCAATAATTCAATTAAACCATATTTTTTGACCACTAAGGGGTATAGGATCATATCTAATCTCATATATAGTTGGACAGGGATCCACGAAAACTTGGAATAAAAATATGATTCAAACTCATAACCTTTAGCCGATGCTTTAAAGCTTGGGGACATGCTGTTATATTTCCTAATATATCATCAAACACCTAAATTTAGATAGTTCTCATAATGCGAGTAGTAAGATCACGAAATCACAATTTTGAAAAACCAGATTGTTAATCCATCTTTAAGCATTTAAATGGATTTAAACATGCATTAATCACCAAGCTAAGTCAGAACAAATACTCACTCAATACATGCCCATCTTTAAAAAAATTAAACCAAATTTTACCTATCCTTTCTAGATCATATATGCACATAAAATTTATCATAGCTATAATCGCATTAGCCATTATTCAAGCAAAATATTTTAACCAAACTTGTGTTAATGGCTTGGATGTCTAATCTCCCTTAAATCTTCAATCTCTCTTCTCTTTCTTCCTTTTTTTTCCTCCAGAGCTCTCGGCCATCTCTCTCAGTCCCTGGCCATTTTTCTCGTCTCTGAGCCCTTCTCTTGGTCTCACTCTTCTCTCTTTTTTTTTCTTGCTACGCCTGTTCTTCGTCCAGCTTCCCTCTATTGGTCTCTATTTTTTTTCGCTCCGTTTTTCCTTTTCTCTTCGTCTCCTATTCTCTGTCTCTCTCTCTTCTCGTTTTACCTCTGTTTCTCATACTCTATTTGTTTTCAGTTTCTTCATGCTCTCTCGGTCCCTTCTTTCTCTGTCTTGCTCTCATTTTCTCCCACTCCCAGACTCTCGGTCAGGTACTTTCCCTCCATTTTCATCCAGCTTCAATCCCTCTCAGTCCGTACTCTGTTTTTCTCTCCGTCTCCCTCTCTTTCTCGTCTCTGCTTCTCAGTTTTCTACTCTTCTTTTTCTGTTCTTTTCTTATCGTCGTCCATCTTTCCTCCATTCCCACTCTCGGTCCCTTCTTTTACGTGCAAACTCCCCTCCTTTCTCTGCCTGTGTGAGTGCAGTCCATGCTCTGTTTTTCTTCCCTTTTTTTTATGTTCATCCTTGCTCCTCCTCCTCCTCTCTGCAATCGAAAGGATCTCAGGATGCTGTCCCTTTATCCATTTTCTCTGCCTGGGCGAGTCTATGTGACTTCGGGTCCTCCCCATGGCTTTCTTTGCTCTGATCCTTCCTCCCCCTTCGTGACTGGCGTAGATAAGAGTATATATATATTTTTTTCGTCTGTTGTGTTCGTCTCTTTTGCTCTTCTCTCTCTGTGTTTTCCGTGTGTAGTAGAAAGTCTGCTCTCCTCTTCTTTTTTCTGTGTTTTCAGAGAGACCAAGCTTTATGCATGCATGCGTCTCCCTTCTGCTCGCTCGCGTGCCTGACTTCGTTTTCGTCTGCCATCTCCTCTATGATCACAGCTTGCTTTCAGGGTCTTCTCTGCATTCTCCTTTCTTGCCTTCTGCTGTGCGTATGTTTCTGGTTCTCTTTTATGCCTTTTTCTGCATTTTTGACTCTCTTTTCTGCCTGTTTTGTGTGTTCTGTTTCTACTCCTTTTTCTTTGCGTGTGTCTGGCAGTCTGCTTCTTTTCTCATTTCCTCTCTCCAGCTCGTGCAACATGCACGTTCTGCTCTTGTTCTTCTTCTTCTTTTTTTTTTTTTTTATTAACTTCAAGAATTAAATTAAAAGAATGAAAAAAGAAAAAAAACTAATTTTGAGTTAAATTATAATATTTCTCTCTCTCTTTTTTTTTTAAATAAAAAGATTTAAGAAAAAAATAATAATAAAAAATTAACTCTCAAAAGTTAACTCTCCAATATTTTTGAATGATTAGAATAATTTAGAGAGAAATTTTAAAATATTTAAACAAAATTTTTTTTATTTTATTAAAATATAATCCTAAAAAAGATTAGACTTCATTTTTATATTTTTATATATTTTTTGCTTATTTATTATTAAATTTAAAAAATACCCAGATAAAATATGGTGTTCACACATTCCCACATTTGCCAAAAAGCAACATGATGCAGTGGGCATTTAGCTTTGCAAATGCATGTACAAAGAAAAATTTGCCAAATATGTGCAAGGGTTACAAGCAACAAAGGGGCAGAAAGTTTAAGCTAAAGAGCAAAAGTAGCCTATAATTGTATTTATGCAAATTTAGGCTAGGAATCAAATGATACAATTATTAGTGAGCGTGGTAGGAGTGCATTAAAGATGCAAGTTCAAATAAAATAACAAGAAAATATATTTCCAAAAATAGCATTGTCATTTCTCATATATGCCACATATACTATTTCAAATATTCTCAAGACATAAGGTAAGAAAAAAAATAAGGCAGTACAGCAAGTCATGTCCAAGCCTGTAAATCAATCCCACTTCTCCCACAAGGACATTCAAAAAAAGTATCAAATGATGTAATGGCTATTTAGAAAGCCAAATATATGATAGTAACAAATCATGAGGCATCTTTCTATTCCAAGTTTGAGAATCCAAAATGATAACAACTTTCCTACATTGGTATAAGCCACAATTTTTTGACATTAGCATTCCAAGTTAAAAGATCCAAAATGGCCGATTTCTTATATTTGCATAGGTCATAATTTCCCATCATTTGCATTCCAATTTCAAGAATACAAATGGTTACAATTTTCCAACATTTGTAAAGGTCACAATTTCCCAATATTTGCCTTCAAATTTAAAAGATCCAAAATAGTAAAAACATTCTTACATTTATAATTGAAGTTAAAGAATCCATAACAATCAAAACATTCCCATATTTGTAATCCAAGATAAAGGATCTAAAATTGTCTAAACATTCTGAATATAGGAGCCGTCAAAATCCAAGTTAAAAGATCCAAAATATTCATAATAGCCCCACATTTTGTAATCAAATTTAAATGATTCAAAATGATCAAAATGTTCCAACCTTTGCCAAATTTGTATAGGAGTCATCAAAATAAGCGCACATGATGCAATAGGCATCAAGCCTTGCAAATGTGCATACAGGAGAAATTTGCCAAATATGTATATCTAAAGAGCAAAAGTAGACCCCCTGTAATTGTATTTTTGCACATTTAGACAAGGAATCAAATGATAAAATCATTAGTGAGCGTAGTAGGAGTAAATTAAAAATGCAAGTTCAAATAAAGTAACAAGGTAATGTATTTTCAAAAAAGTATTATCATCTCCCATATATGCCACATATGCTACTTCAAAAAATATCAAAAGCATGAAGGCAAGAAAAAATAAGGCATCTCAACAAATCAAATTCAAGCCCATTAATCAATCCACTTCTCCCAAAAGGGCATTCAAAACAAGTATTGAATGATGGAATGACTATTTAGAAAACCAAACATGCGATTGTAATAAATCAAAAGGCAACTTTTTAATTCAAGTATAAGAGTCCAAAACGGTCACCATTTTCCAACAATTGTATAGATCACCTTTTTCTCACATTTGCATTCCAAGTTCAAAGATCTTAAAAAATGGTCCATTTTCCCACATTTACATCAGACATAAATTTCCAACATTTTTATCCCAATTTCAAGAATGCAAAATGGTCACAATTTTCCAACATTTATATTCCAAGTTAATAGATCCAAACGGTCAGAACATTCTCACATTTATAATTGATGTTAAAGGATCAAAACGGTCAAAGCATTCCCACATTTGTAGTCTAGGATAAAGAATCCAAAACACAGAACATTCCCAATATAGGAGACGTCAAAATCCATGTTAAAGGATCCAAAATGGCCAGGACAAAATTAAAGGATCCAAAATGGTTAGAATATTCCCACATTTGAATAAGAGCTGTCAAAACAAGCACACATGATGCAGTGGGCATCAAGCTTTGCAAATGCGTGTATGAGAGAAATTCCCAAATATGTATATGTATAGTGGCTACAAGCAGCGAAGACATGAAAAGTCTAAGCCGAAGAGAAAAAGTAAACCCCTATAATTATAGTTATGCACATTTAGACTAGGACTCAAATGATAAAATCATCAGTGACCCTAATAGGAGTGCATTAAAAATGAAAGTTCAAATAAAGTAACAAGGAAATATATTTTCAAAAAAATATTGTCATTTCTCATATATGGGTATGCTACTTCAAAAAATCTCCAAACATGATGTAAGAAAAATAAGGCAACTCAACAAATCAAGTTCAAGCCCATTAATTAATCTCACTTCTCCTATAAGGACATTCAAAACAAGTATCGAACGATACAATGGCTATTTCAAAAGCCAAACATGCAAATGTAATAAATCACAAGGCTGCTTTCTATTTCAAGTCCAAGAATCCAAACTAGTTACCATTTTCCTACAATTGTATAGGTCACCATTTTCTCACATTTTCATTCCAAGTTCAAAGATTCAGAATAGTCCATTTTCCCACATTTGCATCGAATATAAATTTCTAACATTTTCAGCCCAATTTCAAGAATGTAAAATGGTCATGATTTTCCAACATTTGTATAGGTCACACATTTCCAACGTTTATATTCCAAGCTAATGGATCCAAATGATCAAAACATTCTCATATTTGTAATCGACATTAAAGGATCCATAATGATCAAAGCATGCCCATATTTGTAATCCAAGATAAAGGATCCAAAACCTTCAGAACATTCCCAATATAGGAGCTGTCAAAATCCATGTTAAAAGATCCAAAACAGTCAAGACATTTCCACATTTTTTAATCAAATTTAAAGGATCCAAAATGGTTAGAATATTCCCACATTTGAATAGGAGCCATCAAAACAAGCACACATGATGCAGTGGGCATCAAGCTTTGCAAATGTGCATACAAGAGAAATCCCCTATAATTGTATTTATGCACATTAAGACTAGGACTCAAATGATACAATCATCAGTGGGCCTAATAGGAGTGCATTAAAAATGCAAGTTCAAATAAAGTAACAAGGAAATATATTTTCAAATAAAGTATTGTCGTTTCTCATATATGCCCCATATGATACTTCAAAAAATCTCAAAACATGAAGGTAAGAAAAATATGGCAGCTCAACAAATCAAGGTCAAGCCCATTAATCAATCTCACTTCTCCTACAAGGACATTCAAAACAAGTATCGAATGATGCAATGGCTATTTCGAAAGCTAAACATGTGAATGTAATAAGAATGTAATAAATCACAAGGCTGCTTTCTATTTCAAGTCCAAGAATCCAAAATGATCACCATTTTGCTATAATTGTATAGGTCACCCATTTCTCACATTTGCATTCCAATTTCAAAGATTCCAAATAGTCCATTTTCCCATATTTGCATTGGACATAAATTTCCAACATTTTCATCCCAATTTCAAGAATGCAAAATGGTCACAATTTTCCAACATTTGTATAGGTCACACCTTTCCAACGTTTATATTTCAAGTTAATGGATCCAAATGGTTAGAACATTCCCACGTTTGTAATCAACGTTAAAGGATCCAAAACAGTTAAAGCATTCCCACATTTGTAATCCAAAATAAAGGATCCAAATCTAAATGAAGAATTCAAAATGTTAAGAGCACTCCCACATTTGTAATTGAAGTTAAAGCATCTAAAATGGTCAGAACATTCTCACATCTGTAGGCCAAGTTAAAGGATCCAAAATGATTAAAACATTCTCACATCTATATAGGAGCCATCACAATAAGCAACACATGATATAATGTGCATCAAACTTTGTAACTAGACATACAAGAGAAATTTGCAAAAGTAGAATATATGTATGTATATAGACAGGGGCTACAAGCAGTAGAGACACAAAAAGTCTAAGCTGAAGAGCAAAAGTAGACCCTTATAATTATATTTATGCAACATTTCTATTAGGCATCAAATGATACAAATATCATTGAGCCTAGTAAGAGTGCATTGTAGATACAAGTTCAATTAAAATAGCAAGGACCTATATGTTCAAAAAAAAAATGTATTGACATTTCTCATTTGCCACATATGATTCTTTAAAAAATCTCAAGACATAAGTAAGAAAAAATAGGACAACTCAACAAGTCAAGTTCAAGCCTATTAATCAATCACACTGTTCCAACAAGGACAATCAAAACAAGTATCAAATGATGCAAGAGTCATTTCTCTAGAAAGCCAAAAATATGATTGTAGCATATCACGTGCAACTTTCTATTTCAAGTTCAATAACCTAAAATGATTACAATTTTTTCCACATTGGTATAGGTCACAATTTTCCCACATTTATGTTCCAAGTTCAAGATTCTAAAACAGTCAATTTTCCCAAATTTGTATAGGTAATAATTTTCCAATATTTGCCTCCAAGTTCAAGGATACAAAACAATCACAATTTTTCCATATTTCAAATTCAAGCTCAAATATCCAAAACGGTCAGAACATTTTTACACTTGTATTCCTAGTTAAAAAATCCAAAACAGTCAGAACATTCCTACATTTATATAGGAGTTGTCAATAAAATCAACATGTGGATTAAAAACATCGAATCCAAATCTTTTGTGACAAAATCTAAAATTTCAGCCACATAGCTGCAAGATTTGGTGGCTATAAATTGCAGATGGTGCTAATCCAGTAGTGGAAGGCTTGAAAAAATGCCTAGATATTTTCCAATTCACTAATTAAAACTAATCTGATGACAAAATTAGTTATTAGGAAAACATTAAGCACTAATGTGTTGGAAATACAGATTAAGACATGGAAATTAATTCTCAAGCACATCATTAGACCTAATTTGTCAAATATTCTAACAACAAATTAAGATAATTGCATGCATCTAAGCTAAATCTTTGCCACAAGCTAAAAACAAGACAAGTCTGTCAAAGAATCCTTAGGAACCAACCGCTAATGCAAAAGAGGATTGTGTCTCCAATACTTGCAATGCAGCCCCTCCACCATGCTTATCCACTAACCTATTTGTTGCTGCATACAAATAAGTAATGCTGAAATAACAAATGCCTTTAGAAAATAGAGAATGATATGATTAGGATTTGTCAAGAACTTTTTGAGATGAAAATGATTGACCCAGAAGTTACTCTAGTTAATCTCTAAAAAAGCTGAATTGTTCAACCCCACAGTAAATACAGAAATCAATGTTTCTTGAAAAGTCACTAATGCAATCATACCCATGCTTTACAAAGAAGAATAGACATTAAATGAAATGACATTCAAATTTAGATCACCAAAACATACATCTAAGGTTGCTACAAAATAAAAAAAAAAAATAATAATAATAATAATAATAATAATAATAATAATACAGCAAAGGCTAAGGAAGATTCAATGTAGAATAAAGCATCAACATCCCAAAAAATTTCTTAATACCAGTAATCTTGTGACGATTGAAATAAACTGTTGAAAAGATCACCGTACCCATTTGAAACAGTGCTAGTGGTATCAGAATCAGAAAGTTGGAACAAAAATAAAATTCTAAGGAAAAAGAGTATAAATCTCTATGCCATTTGCCTTTAACTACAAATTTTCCCACTCGTTTTGGTTTAAACAAGGCAAAGATTCAGTCACCAGTGATGTCACATTTTCCATTACCTCTTAATTATTCAGTAGAAATGGATTAAAAAAATAGAAGAACATCTCTATTGACTAGAAAGACAACTTCAAAGAATCCTAACATTGAAGGAGAATATCAAGTCTCATAAGCACCCCAGCCACCATTTCCGTTAACATCACATGTCTAGATTCCATGCTCAGTGAGGGTGACCAAGTGCACATCATTACAACAGTACGATTATCCTGTTCATGGCACAATCTGAGCCATTGAAGTAAAATTAAATCATGGCCTTTTGTTATTCCCATTTTTTCCTTCTCTTCCCAAATCTTCTCCCAATTTTTTAATATGTTTTGCCACGTGCTAAAATTCATAATAGCACCATTTCTGCAGAGAGCACCTAGTGCTCATCACAGCAACCAAACATGGAATTTGAATGGCTAACATCACATGTTTCACACCAATAACTTGTCAATGTGCATTTTCATGAATATGTATAGGACTAATACTACCTCACAACTCGCATGCTAGTTATTTAAAATGAGATAGTAAATTATTGCTTCACACTAGTATATCAAAGATTTCATTTCATGCAATCACAATAGGATTTTAATAACTAAAAAAAGTGGGGGGGGGGGGAACACATGGGAAGTCAGAAGTTTTATTAAAAGTTAACAATACCACCAATACTGTCAGCATAATCCAGCTCCTCATCACTATCTTCCTAATTGGTTGCTGAAATATAGATACTTTTGTATATGAAGAAACAAACTCCGACCCAATTACAACCTGCATCTTTTAAATTCCTGAAATCATCAACACTCAAGAGTTGTATAATTGATTTGATAGAGGATGAATCCTCTACTATCTCATATGGTAATTACTAGCTAAAGTAATTAATAAATAATTAAATAGCAAATTGAATTTTAGAATTCTTTAACAAATTAATGTACACGGACAAATGCAATTGAGGATTTGAATGGATAGAAAAAGTCTTGAATTTATTTCAGCGGATGCGCGCGCGCGTGTGAAGGAATAATTCTAATCCTAGAAAGAAGAATAATCAGACCTAGATAATTAACAAAGAATTAAATGCTGACAGCTGCACCTAGTAATCCTTTTCAAATAAAGAGAAAGAGAGAGAAAATAATGATAAATACATATTTGACCACAGCAATTATCACTGAATTTTAATATATTTAATGTATATAAATTATAAAAATAAAGCACATAAACAAAATTAAGGGCTTTGGTTATGCACTTGCACTCAGGGAAATCAAGAAAATAAATGCTGCTCGCTTATATACTAAGAAAAATTATCAATCATAAAGGCACACAAGAAAGAGGAAACACAGACATAAACAAAAGCATACAGCAATCTAACCAGGGTAAGCAACTAAGCAATGTTAAATTACAAAAGTAATAGATACCGACCTATGACTTTTATGTGGTTGCATCTCAGCAACAAGTTCTTCTTTAACACAGCATTGTTGATGTAGATCAACAAGACGTTTTGCACCCTACGATGTCCATAAAAGAAAAATAATTACTAAGGTCATATAGCAAGCTAAGACAACATTGGAATCTATGATGTCAATGTAAAAATTGAAACATGACGAAAGGTTGGCTTGAACATACACAAACCTCATGCGAAAGCATCCCTATTCCATTTGCATTACCGCATTGTTTTCTTGCCTTTCTTTTTTCACTAGACTTCTCTTCCTGCTCATGCATAATTGAAAAAAAAAAAACAAAAAACTATAACCATCTGTTATAACATTCAAGAAGTACATGCAGAGCAAACATATGAGATGAAAATATACCTTTATCATCCTACTGGATAGGCCTCCTCTACCTTTAGTATCCATAGAAACAAAAGGATTCCTGATCGAGCTTGAAGGCTTAAATTTCACATATTCACTGAGTACATTTTTCGAATTGGCAATATCATAGCCATGCAACAGTGAGTCTTTTGGGTTTGCTGCAAGGTTACCATCATAGTGATCACTATGGTAAGAAGCAGAATCAGATTCCAACCCTTCAAGGCCATGCTTGATGCCAACTCTACGATTCTCTTTGCTATCAGATGAAGATGCTTCTCCAACAGAACGTTCGTACAAATCCAGAGAAGAGTTTCTCCTAGGAAATCGTTTGACCGTACAAAGGTGGCCCTTTCTTTGAAAGCTGGCGAGATTTCTTATCCTGGACATTTGAGAGGTCTGCTCCTTCCATGTGTGAATCTTGGGAATTGAATTTGGTATTATACGAATCATATCTCTGCAAATAGACAAGGAACAGTAAATAAGAGGCAAGAGATAGCATTATTGCCCTATGACCATAATTATGACAACGAACACAAGATCAATTATATAGAGCCCGACATCAATCAAATGATGAAACAGCAGGATTGAGAAGGCTCAAGTATGAAATTATTACGAATACTTGTGAAGAGAACTGAGGCTTCTAAGCCACACACATAAAATCCCCTGTAGGCCTGAAGTTAGATTTTAACCAAAATAGCCTCAAGAATAATATCAATTTCTTTTATTTAGGCACCAAGAAGGTTCTGATTGTGAGTAAGGCATAGGTAGGATACTACAGTCACCATCACCAAACCCATATTTAACTTGTAAGAGATTCCCCATCCCCTTCGAATTCCCAGATCCTACCTTATGTAGCAGCCTTTAGCGTATGGTTGCACCGTTGGGTCGTCCCAGCATACATGTAATAAAGAGCTCAAACTTATCGCCAAACAGTATATTGCTTGACTGGACGTCCCTATGGTATATACGAGGAAACGCTGAAGAGTGAAGATAATAAAGAGCTTGAGCTATCTGGTGGGTGATCTTGAGCCTGTAAAGCCACTGGAGAGGACGATGAAAACGGTGCGTGTGGAGGTGGTCAAGCAGGGTCCCGTTGGGGATGCATTCGTAGATGAGAAGGGGTTGGTAGTCTAGTTCGACGCAACAACCTAGGAGGCGGACGAGTTTACGATGGTTGACTTGGCAGAGGATTTGAACCTCGTTGAGAATTTGGTGGAGGGCTTTGGCGTTGCCGAGCATGGCTCATTTGATGGCTATGACTGTTCCTTTGAAGACTTCTCCGAAGCTGCCAGTGCTGATGAGGTTGTCTTTGGAGAAGTTGTTAGTCGCTTTCTTAGATCTCTCTCATTGTGAAGATTCTGGTTCTGGCGGAACGAGGCAAACCCGCATCGCAAAGGTCGGCGCAAATGACCGTTGTGGATGGGGCTGCAGCGTTTGCTTAAGAATGGCGCTACCTCGGAAGCTTATTTTTTCCAAGCGTAATAATCAATATTAATAATATTTTTATAATAACCAACAATAATATCATTATTATTTTATATTGGGTCCAAGCTTTGAAAGACGGTCATTTGCATGTAGATACGGTCATTTATATATATATATATATATATAAATTTTTTCTTGTTATGATAATTAATCAATTTTAATTTTTTTATAAATCTCATGCCACCTTAAGTTTTGTGTTAGGAATAAGATTAACGGACTATAAATGAAAATTATTGTTTTGATGACCATTTATTCAAAATCTTTAAAAAAGAACAATTTTGTGTTACGTAAATCATGTTTTAATAGCACAGTGAACAGGTATTTTTGGCAAAAGAAAATCAATGTCAAAAATTATTATAAAGTAATAATTAGACATTAAATATTAAATAAACGTAACATCAGGAATCAGGAATATATTAAAATTTTAAAATTGAAAGTATTAATGAAAGGGAAATCATTTTTCTTGGACAATAATTAAAGGCAAATAATTTTAAAATAAACTATTTATAAGAAGAAAATTGTAGCAAACAAGACATTTTTGTTTTACGTGAAAATTGTAAAAAGGCTGAGTTGGCATCGAAGGGTGATATGAATAATGCCTGTAACCGTGTTGAGTGAGATTTTTTGAAGGTTGATTTGTTGAGAACGGGTTTTAGTGAAATTTGGGTAAGAAAGGTAATGGAATGTGTCTTCCACTGAATTTAAATTGTTAATTGCTGATAAAAAGGCTGATATATTTACTTCTTAAATAAGGATAAGACAAGGTGATCCTCTCTCCCTCTCTCTTTATTATTGTTGCTGATGTTTTATCTCAAATGATGTTGTTTCATATTAATAATGGGGATTTTGAAGGGCATAAAGTTGGCAAAGGGGTGTCCTGTGTTATCTCATTTATTTTTTATTGATAATTTACTATTTTTTCATTGTCGCTAAGAAATCTAATTGTTTGGTCTTTTAGAGAATTCTTGATGTGCATTGTGTAGCTTAAGGACAAGAAATTAATTTGGAGAAATCTTGTCTCTCTCTCTCTCTCTCTCTGTTTTTTTTTTTTTACACTAAAGCAAAAGCTAATTTGAAGGGTGAAATTTCTAATGTTATGCAAATTTTTAATGTTGATCAGCAAATCTTTAGTTGTTCATGGTTGTTAGGATCTAAGTTCTAGTCTTAATTTGATTTCTATAAAGGAGAAAGAAGAGATTCTTAAAATCAAATTACCTATTACAATGGTGAGGGATAAGTTGATTTGGGTTTCATGCAGAGATGGCTCATATTCTATTAAATCCAGTTATTTTGTGGCAAAAAATGCCAATGTAGTTTTGGTAAAACACCTGGAGAATTGTTCTTATCTTCCTTCTAGGCATCTTTGGAATGGTGTTTGAAAGTTGGAGGTTTCTTTTAAAATTAAGCATTTTATTTAGAGGATTCTTAATAGAGCCCCTATCTACTTAGTTAATAGAGTCAAGTGAACATCTTTTAGTTGCTTGTACTTGGGTTCAATCTTGTTGGTTTGGGTGTAGTTTGGGTTTTTTTTATTCCTAATTTTGATATTTCAAATGTTAAGTGGTTTGTTGATATGTTTTGTGATAATCAACAAATTTATTCTATAGGTAGGGCATTAATTATTGCTATTTGTTGGAAAATATGGAAGAGTAGATGTGATTTGTTGTTCAATGGTGATAAAGTGGATGTTGTGAAGGTTATTGTGAATGCTAGAAGGATTGTGGTTGAGTATGGGAGTTTAAAGAAAATTTTAAAAGTTGATGGGATGTCTTGCCCAAAAATTCTATTTGGAGATTTCCTACTAATAATGTGAAATCAAAATTAATGTTTATGGGTCTTTTTCTGATTCTAGTAAAACTGTTGGCATTGGTTTAGTTTGTAGAAATTATTGTGGTTAATTCTTGGGTTGTTACGGGAAGAATGTGTCCACTTTTTCATCTATTATGACAGAATGCTTGGTATTGTTGGAAAGTTTGAAGATTGTGGTTCTTTTTCAAATAAGAGAGTGCTCATTGAGATGAATTGTGAGGGGTTTTTTTTTGTATTGTTATGAGTAAAATCTCTTATGTTTATGATTGGCATTGACATTGTATTGACTTGTTGCAGGATATTCAAGTTGCTTGAAAATCATGCAAGTATGCCTCTTTCTCCTTGGTGGCTCATTAGGGTAATGAAACTGCTTATCTGTTAACAGTGATGGGTTCTAAGAGTATGTGTTCATTTAAATGGCTTTTAGAAAATACGACTTCTTTATATGGTCTTTTGCTTGCTAATTTAAGGGTTGTAAGAATTTCTACTTTATTTTGATTGTTTCTATTATGATTGGAACAAACTTGGTGTTAGTTGATTGTTTTTTTGGCTTATTTTGATTTGTTTGTTTTGTTTGTTTGGTAATTTTGTGTGTTAGGTTGCATGTAAGTTTTTTTTTTGAACTTTTTTTTTGCTTCAGCTATTAGTGTATAATATTTTTCATGATTAATAAAATTGGTTCTTTTTTAGCCAAAACAAAGACATTTAAAAAAAACGAACACAAAAAATACCAAATGCAAAGAGTACGTTTTGTTTTAGAAAAAACCAAGGTAGAAGATACCAAACACAAAAAATATAAGGGTCTGTTTGATAACGTATTTTCAGAGTAGTTTTTAATTAAAAATTAAAAACTTTACATTTTGTAAAAAAAATAAAGGGGAAATCAAAATGATACAGTACTTTTTATGAAAATAATCTAAATTTAAACATGGTGGGTTCAAAATTTAAAGCCAATCCCTTCTGTGAAATATGAAAAACTCAAACTTTCTTTTGAATTCAATATGTTTTAATTTTGGTTTAGTGGATTTAAAATTATTAAGATCATAAAGTAAATTTTTAAAAGGTATACTACACACTTTGTAGTTTTTGTTAAAAAAAAAATGAATATATGGAGCATTTGCCCACCTTTAAGTATATATACATTAATCATTGCATTGAAAATCTGGTGACAAATAATATTTTAATTTCAGATCTATTTAACAAAAATAAAATAATGCATAAGTTACTAAGAGCAGGGTGATAGTAACGTGAAAAAGCTTTGGCTCGAAGAACCTTAAACAACGTTAAAGTTTTACTAATATAAATTATTAAACTTCTCCTTTATAACTTTACTTCATCCTCCATCTTTGTAGCTGATTTTTAAAATCATGTCATACATGTAACTTTACCCATTTTAAAATTTTTTTATTATTTTAATAAGTTACTTTAAATAATTTTCGAAAATAATTTGATAGATGAGGAAGAATATATAAAAAATATTATAAAATATTATAAAATTTTAAAATAACTAAACAATAAATTATTTTTATAAATAGTGATGAAGGAAATATCATGAAATTTAAAAATAACTAAACTTATAATAAATTTTTATTATTGTAATCAAACCTAAAATAATATCTATTTTTATGAAATTTTTATAAATTATTTTTTTAAAATCTCTAACCTATCTAAAAATCACTTATGTTTTAATGAAAAAAAGATAATAAAAGTCCTGCAAATTATATAAATAATAATATAATCTTTTAAAATATTATAATTTTACTGAATTCTCTAAAAACTTCTATGTCAATAAATTTTAAATTAAAAAAATTATTTTACTGTTATTGAAAAATTATAATGTTTTATTCAATTCTTATAATTCTTTGAATAAAATTTTTTAAACAATAATGGTGTTTGAAGCTTGTTATTTTAAAAAAAATTAAAATAAATTATATTTGATAAATTGTGATTTTTTTGTTCAACTCTAGCGACAATACAAAAGTTGTCATTTTTTAAGCAAAGGCTATAATTAGGGTTTGCTATTTTGAGACAAAAATTACACTTGTTAAATTATGATATCTTAACTAATTCTTACAATTTACAGAATAAAAATTGTTATTCCTCAAGTAAAAGCTGTGATTGATAATATTTATTTTCAATAGAAATAAAATGATATTTTTACTTTAAAATTTATTGACACACAAGTTTCTTAAAACTTCAATAGAATTTGAAGGATCAAGTTATTATTTATATAATTTAGAAGGAATTTATTGTCATTTTTCTTTTAAATTACTTTTTAAATAGGAGTCAAACCATTGAAAAATATTCACTGAGGCAAATTAGCCCCATGAGTGGATTATTAATAGTGCTGGTAAAAATAAAGAATGGATTATTAATAGTAGTAAATAATAAAATAATAATTAATTACTCTTAAAAAATTGAAAATGACACTTCACTTTTTATGAATTAAACTATTGAAGGGACTAATTCAAATTCAATTATTTCTATAAAATTAAAATATAAAAATAATAATATTCTTATCAAAAGAATTATAATATTATATATTAATGGATGAATTTCATTTAACTTATTTTATTGGACCGCATATGTCACTTTGTCAAAAAAAAATCTAAAAAAAGCAGTTTTATGCAGAAATATTAGCGTAAGCAATGTTAATGCCAATTACATGAAGGTCGCTGTCGCACCATTCATATAAAATATAATAAAGCTTTATTGTTAGGAAAAATAATAATAAAAGTCTATCAAAATATATAAATAATAAGTAGGTCTCTTCAAATATTATAATTCTTTTTAAGTTTTTAAGTATCTTTTTTATATTAATAATTTTAGATTAAATAATTAAATTGTCCCTTGTTTAATAAACAAATTTCACTTGGAAGTTATGATTTTTTATTTAATATTTACAATTCAAAGAATAAAAATTATAATTGATTATTTTCAAAACTTAAACTTCAATAATAAAAAAAATTCACTCAAAAAATATTCGTGATTTATAAAATAAAAGTTGTGATTACTTACATAAAAATTGTGATTGGATATTTTTAGAACTTGAACTTCAATGATATAAAAGAAATTTCATGTAGAAAATTGTGATTACTTATTCAATATTTATGATTCATAAAATAAAAATTGTAATTGTTTAAACAAAAAT